TCTCTCTCTCTCTCTCTCTCTCTCTCTCTCTCTCTCTCTCTCAACAGGACCTCACCGCCGCGCTATATATAACTCGGGTCTTAACCCGACTGAAGGAAAACTAAATATATCGTAATTGGATGCGTGTAGCGTGTATACCAACCGCAACTTGTCGATGCGAGCTGCAATTATAGCACGATAGAATAATTTTCGATAGTTTCAAAAAGTTCCGTATCGGACTAATGTCTACGTCGAGGGTTGAAATTATGGTTGAGATTTGACGGGACTTGACCAATCAAGATGAAAGTGATGGAGTACTCTTTAGTCTGATTGGTCGAGGCTAGTTACGCTTTAGGGTCTCTTCAAACGGACTTGCACGATGGCTTTGAAAGCACAGGATACAGAAATCGACCAATCGCGTGCCTAATTTGAAAGATATGACAATGTGGCCTTCTACGAGAAAATTTTTTTATGTCGAATAATTTAATTATTGCAGCAATTTACAAGATTCGATAAATAAAATACATGACCTTTATGAAGATTTTGTTTTTCACATTATCGATAATGCACAGTACTTTTGTAATCTTAATTACAACAAATAAAGATACTAAGTTATTTAGAAAAAAAGCACAATACTTGAAAAAAATAATACACGATAATTGTACATAATTATATGTGTTATTTGTTTTATGCTAACAATTTGTGTACTTTTCCACTTGACAATAATTCCTCTACTTCTCTCTTCTTTAAGAGCTAATGAGAGTATTATTTTGAACTCTCCTTATATTTACGTAATTAATATTACTGATAAAAAATTTGATATTTTTATCAATAACCTGATATATATGTATTATAATTTTATTGAGGTACTTCAGGTAGATAATCTATGCTCCACTTAACATATTTTTGCACATTTTATATTAAATGTAGTCTTCATAATTCATTGATTTTTCATATATACATATTATGGAAGTTTGACTAGATTTTCAAAAGAAAATGTTTTTGTTTCATACACTTATTGTTAAGTAAATGTTCCATGGTAAAAGCATTTACTTGGTTCGTCATCTCTCGTCACATCAATTTCCGTTACATAATCTTGTTAAACTTTACACACATTTATTTTAAAAATAATTATGTAACACTAAATTCATTAAGTCAACAAAAATTAATATTATTCAATGATCTCTAAAAGTATCTCTTGTCATCTTTGCAGCCGTACCGCCTTTAAGCACGGCTGGCCGTACCTTCTCGTCGCTTCTTCAAGGAAGGCGTTCTCCATTTGCCTCACAATCTTATTGAAAAATAAATTTGACAAATGAGAGTAAAAGACGGATCTGAACTCGAAGGACAACGAGAAATCGATCACGCACGTTTCAGGATTGTTTTTCAGTCCGGGACTAAACAGCCACAGGGTGTCCAAATGATCGAACAATCTGCCGTCCCTACATTCAGCTTTAACTATCCTCGGATACGCCATGGTCACCTTCGACGTATAATTCTCGTTTATGGGCGGAAATCCAATCACCAAGTTCGCCTTCAGGAAGTCTTTGGTTTTCATCGTGATCTCAGATTTCGTGCAAAAGGGTAAAAAATCTTTGTAATTCTCCACGTCGGCGACTACGCGGTACATTTTCTCCATTGAGAAGCTAAAAAACAGAAATTTCGTCACTTCAAGTAGCACTTTTTGCATTGAGGGAACATACAATTTACAACGTATATACGAACCAGCAAACAATACACGTCAAAACCAAAACAGTTTACAATAAATCCGAAACATGGTTCAAATATTATTTAGAGTGATATAAAACGGTAGCAAGTTAATATGAAAAGTCTCGAGAAGTCTTTTCCTTATCTATCTGTTTTTATTACCCCACTAATTTGCGACCTTCGTACTCTTTGGTCTTGTAACTCGCTTGTGTTCTGTACATTCGCCACAAGTTCCGCTTGGAAGAATCGCATTTCCATGGCAATGCCGATTGTGCCAGGACGAGCGCGTGCCTGGAATATTTTTACACACACGTGACTACAAAATCACAACAATTACGTTCAATTCAATTTAAATTATCTACGGTTTAATTCAAATTATTCACGCTGCCTAACCTCCATAACCTCAAAGCGTTACACATAACCTCAAAGTAAAATTGAATAAAATAGGGATTACCTGTGCATGTCGAGGACAAAACGTTGAATTTTCTCGCGATGTCGGGCAACATGCGTTTAAACTTTAACGTCTGACATGCCAAAATTCTCCAATCATACATCAAAATCGAACCAACGCCATCCTGATCCTATATTCGACTTTAATCATCGATGACAGCATCACATCGGATGATAAACGTAATCGTAGGTTTTTTTTTTAATTATACAAATAATACACAAAATACTTCAGTGATTCTCCAATTATGATTGATTATTATGAGCAGTCTCCTAACGTGGGAGAGAAGAAGAGGAAAGATGGACGGTGCAAGTGGTGCAAGTAGGTGCAAGCGAGTGCGAGAAGTTCAACTAGTGACCGGCCACCACGTGACCGACGTTTTACGCATGCACGGAGAAGTCACGTGTCACGTTCCGCCGCCGGCGGCCCGGAGTAGTTTCAAAATGGCGTAAGTCAACGTAAACATCAGCTGCATCT